TTATCTACATCAGTGGTTTTCAAACTTTAATGTGTATCAGAATCACCTGGAGGGCTTTTTAAACGTACCAATTACACGGTCTCATCCCTGAGTCTCATTCAGTGGGGCCCAAGATTTATCCCAGGTGATCAATACTGCTAGATGAGAGGCTACACTTTGAGAACATTGGATGTGTTTTCCATTGTTGGATGGATGAGAGGCTACACTAATTCAAATAATGGATGGATGTTTTCCATCCAACTCCTTTTTTCTTTGATTTCCCTTCAAATTTTATCTCCTTTAGTGGATCTTGGTGAGGATCAGAATGTATTCATCAGCATTGCCTTTAAAGGTCAAAAAAAAAAAAAAAACAGTGATATTTAAAATAGCAATGCTGGAAAGTACAGGTCAGATTTTAAAGGGAAAAAGGAAACATCCGGAGCATTAAAACCTCTATTTCTTACCTGGACAGCTTCACAAATGTTATTCTTGCCACTTCCTCCCTGCCCCTGTCCCCTTTACTATGTAGCTTATATCTCATAACGGGCCTTTTTGTTGAAAGCAGAAAATGATACTTTTCAGACAATGGGTAGATAACTGGCCAGTAGGATAGCAAGCATTCTGCTCTTTATTCAGAGACGGACACAAACCCCCACATCCATGGACAAGTTCTCCCTCGTTTCCCAGCAGCCAGGGACATCTGTAGCATTTCGGCTCCTATAGGATTGTCTAAATTACTCATCATATTGAACATGTACGGCCTCTTACCCTTGGATTTGCCATTTGTTCTTAAATGTGTACTGGTATGGATTTATGTCACCTACATATTATGCATTTATTTCTCTTCTCCATTCTAATGCTAAGCTCCTGGAGGGCAAGTCTCGCATCTGCTGCTTAGCTGGCAACCCGATTGCCAAGTACCATGTTTTAAGCCTGGTTCATTCTCAATTGTTTGATGCTGATGAGAGCAGCCACGTCTGAAGACCAATAAAGCAACTACTGGTTTGTCATTTGGGAGCTGACAGAATTTGTTCTCTCAAATACATACACTGACCAATTTTGCTGTAAAATCATAGGCCTAGAATGCAAATAATAATGAATTAAATAAATAAATAAACTTACGGGCAATGCGATGGCTGCAAAACTATAAATTTAGGGATTAGAAATGTGAACCCGCCTTTCAATCCAAATTAGGGCAACCTAGAGGTGGTAGTGCAGAATTGCAGAGAACAGCTTTCTGTGAGCTAGGCCATGCTGATATAGAGTAATTGTCTTTTGCCTTGTCAAGATTGAATTGTGCTTTCTGTATTTATGGTGGGCACGTTTCTGCAGGCCTCTCAGTCTAAACTACAGCAGGCCCTAAGAGGTAGAAGTCACATACCTGGATGGCCTGTTTCTTGAAGTTGTTTGGAGATCATTTCGTTGAGTCACTTTTATAGAAGGATCACATTAAAATGTTCCTGCATCTATATCCTTGCAATACCACAAGTGAGACAGTCATCTCACAGGTCCTTGATTAAGTTAAGGGGCCTTTTTATTGAACATAGGAAATGATACTTTTCAGGCACTGGGCACTAACTTGCCAGAAACACGTCTTTCAACTGTACTAAGATTGATAATTAGATCTGGTTCTGCAAACTCACGCTTTTATTTGAAGTGAGTTGAGTGCGTGTCTTAAGACACCATGTAATATGAATGGACCCTTACACTAAGGCACGTAGTCCGCCCGCTGGTTAGGTAGAGGGGAAAATGAAGGCCAAAAAGGTTAATTGACGAAACCTGAACGTATCAGGTGAGAGCCGGCATCTCTGTACTGAAGATCTAAGGCAGCTTTCCCCACTTTGCCTGAGCGAATAG